ATTATGGGTCATGAAGCACCTTGGATAATCTCCAGAAATCATTTTAAAGGGTAATAAAATAATTGCTGATGTAATATTTTCCCTATAATTATTACAAAAACACAAAATAAGTAAAAATAATTATTTATATTTGTGTACAAGCTGTTTAGATTGTCAAAAAGCCCACGTTTTTAGGGTTATTAACGAAGTTCATGTACTCAGACCAGTAATATTTGGGGTCACAAGTTTTTGCAATGGGTATTTTGTGGGTCAGACGATAAAAAGTTTGGGAACCACTGTTTTAGGCTGTTTGTATCAAAATCCTCAAACAAGTTCAGATAACACTGAGTTAGTTTGCAGTTTGGTGTTTATCTTGAAGACAAGTCTTGGTTGACGAAGAAAGAAAAAATTAATGTGTCAATCATCTGTTTGGACACACAAGGCAATGGTTCCCTAATTTAGGGTTGAGACAGTAATTATACAAATATCTAAGGAATTCAAAATAAGTTAAAAATGCTCATTTGTTTTGGAACAAATGTTACGAATGTGAATAGAGAAATCTTAAATTGATAGAATTAGTTGTTTTTGTTGCTGTACAAACCTTGTTTGCAAAGTTTATACACTTTATTTGGTAATAGTCTGGGTCACAAATCTGACTGGTATTTTGTCCAAAKCTAAAAAGTTTAATATGTTGTTTGTGTGGTATAAATTTGTTCTTCCTATAAACTAAAGTCACACTTTATGTTGTGRACAAAGTACACAAAATATCCATGTGAGTCTGATTTAAATTAACTATGTGACCCATCACATCAAAACGAGGATTAAGTCTAAAAGTGGTACATGGAGAAATAGGCAAATATAGTGTTTTGATTAAAATGTTAACAAAAATGGCATTTTGTTAAAACAATGAATAAATGCTTTACCAATTTATCATTTGAGTGAACTGTCTGAAATATAATTATAAAACAAAATTTTGAAACACCTTTGAGCAGTAGCAACAAAAAAACAGATTTTGAGGAAAAGCACCTTAAAATTTTGAAATTTTCCCTGCAAGCTAGTTGTTTCTTTTTAGCTGGGAAATCTCAATATTCAAATATAACTTGAGGTTTCCTCATTATATTAACATCAAAATTTCCTCATTAAAATGACGTCAAATTAGGATTCAGACCAAATATTTATGTATTATTAACCAACAAGACAAATTAAGTCATATATATGGATTTAATTATGACATCAGAATGATYCAGGTATCAAAATGTAGCTTTTAAAGCTGGAATCTGAAAACGTAATTAGGTCATTTTGAACAAATTAGACTTAATCCTCATTTCGATATGACGGGTCACATATTTGAGTTGCATACAGTGTATTATTAACTCTCCACCATGCCCTTTTTTGATTGTGAAGAAAACTGCATTAATGTTTTCATTGCAGAGCCTGACTTTTATGGAAAATCATCACTCTATATGTATAGAGTTTTAGCAACCTCCTTTCCCCTAATATGCCTATGTTTGGCAGTTCAGCAGAAAACTAGCTGATCACCTTATAAGGTGGCATAAAAAAGTGAAATATTCGATGGAGACCTCAGGATTATGTAAAATAGTTTGTTCTCTTAGCAGACAGCAACAATCTTTTTTGATGTGTCCTTGAAAAAATAAAATAAAACAACAACAGACACCTCTGAACGTAATTTTTCGTCGTTATTCAAATGTGTGACAGTTACAYGACTCAGAGCTTGGTTTAATAAGTGGCTTTTGTGAATCAAAAAGGAGCATTTCTTTTTATGTGAAAAATGAAAATTCTGTGGGCCTATACAAGGACGTCCTGATGCATTTCAGTAATCCAGGTAAAAAAAATCAAAAAGAAAAATAATTGTATATGTCTTCTGGACGGGTTCTTCTCTAATGAAACGTTTCGTCTCTCCTCCAAGAGACTTCTTCAGTCTGAGAGTTTCAGGCAAAATTCTGGCTTTTAAGCACCGCCTCCATGTGACTGATACTCACATCACATGGCTATCGTTGACACCTAATTAACACCGATTGTTAACAGGGGGTGGAGTGATATTGGCAATAGCAGCACTGTAGGAGGGGGAACAACTGAAAACGGAGGCCTCCACCTCTGTTTAAAGATGGACGGTCTTTCTTCACAAAAATGGCTTCTTTTACTCCTCTCTCAAACCAACGTTCCTCTCTATCAAGAATGAGAACATCCTCATCTCTGAAAGAGTGACCGCTGGCCTGTAAATGAGTGAAAACTGCAGAGTTCTGGCCATTAGATGTAGCTCGTCTGTGCTGGGACATTCTTTTGAACAGTGGCTGCTTTGTTTCCCCGATGTATAACTGGTCGCAGTCCTCCTGGAACTTAACAGCATATACAACATTGCTCTGTTTGTGCCGGGGCACTGGATCTGATCTGAGGCCTCCGCCTCCATTTTCAGTTGTCCCCCTACAGTGCTGCTATTGCCAGTATCACTCCACCTCCTGTTAACAATAAGTGTTAATTAGGTGTCAACGATAGCCATGYGATGTGAGTATCAGTCACATGGAGGCAGGGCTTAAAAGCCTGAATTTTGCCTGAAACTCTCAGACTGAAGAAGTCTCTTGGAAGAGAGACGAAACGTTTCATTAGAGAAGAACCCGTCCAGAGGACCTATACAATTTTTTTCTTTCCTATACAAGGACATCCTCTTGATGAAAATAAACCAAAGAACCACATGAAATCTGGAATCTGGTGGTACAAGGACCACACAATTTCTGGTACGTTAATTGCAAATTTCAATGTACCTATAAAATATACATTTTCTCTGTACCTTTTTTTTATTTCATAAGGTCAGCAACCCCACAAGCTATATAATTATTTGTGCTGGTATATTGAAATAAAGTACACGACTTAGAAATCCAGAAAGCAAAAGTCTCATCTGTGTTTGTAAAGGTGATTTTGCTGACTTCCAGTGGACAAAAACATTACTACAGCCTATGATTCATGTGACCTTAATACCCTTTTTAGGCTCTTAGGTTTATTTATTTAAACAATATGCTGGTAACAGGTAAAAATAAAAAATAAAATAGACACAAAAATCTTCAGAGGTTTTTATTCATCTATCATCTGTGAAAAAAGTCAGAACTCTGTCTGTAATCTCAGAATTCTTAGATGAGAGTCAGAATTCTGAGAAAAAAAGTCATAATTCTATTTTTATTTTTTAAGTTGCCCCAATCCTCTTCCGTTAAAAAACTGCGTCTATGAATTAACACATGAACAACTTGTAATTTCGACAATTTCAATAGAAACTTCTAGACAAATCTGCACAAACACTCCCGTGACGTCATCAGAAACGCGACCAAGTTGAGTCTCACGAGATCATCGTCAGAGGTTGAAGTTGACCGCACCACGTGAGACCTTATTCATCAATTTTTTCTTTTACTTCATATGGCATTTTTAGCTTCTATATTTTGGATGTTTACAAGTAAAGTTGTAGAAAGGCGTTTAAAATCTTTATTTTAGAAAAAACATTTGATGCTAATTCGCGCAAAACCTCCCGGCTAATCGAGCAGACTGCAGAGTTAGCATCTCGTAGCTCCAGTCCAGGTTCTTAAAAATAAATAGTTCTTTAGCTTGATTATGATAAAAGTCCGACAAGTGTTGAGTTCAGTTAAGTACCGACAGACGCTAAAGGCAAACGGTAAGCCAGCTTAACACAATGAGTTTACTTATTTTAAAGGCATAAATTTATTGCTTCCTGTTCTATCTTTTCCGTAATATATATATA